CAATGAAGCCAGCCGCCCCCCCCCTGCGCACTCGCGCGCGGCAACGGTTCGCCCCGCGCGGCCGCCAGCGAGGCCGCGGCCTGGGCGGCGCCAGAGGCACATCTTCTGGAACGCGCGCCCTTCCAAGGAGACAGCGTCCAACGTCTCCACCATGCTATCGATCTGCGATCGCGTTGAAGCAGCGTCGCGGTTGGCAACGTCGAACAAGCGCAAGAACCAATGGCAAATCATGCCCCAATCCGCCGACGCGCCAACGGCCATGCAACATGTAGTGTCGAGCTTTCTCAATGAAGCCAGGGCTCGCCCCTGCAAGGCCTTGTCGCGGCGTCTGTCCTGCGACATATAGGCCAGCAAAGTCGCAACTGGCAGCGACATATGCGCAATTTTCCCCGCTGGCCCCGCCGTGGAATCGAACCGCTGCTTGGCGAACCATCAATTTCGCGCGACTGTTTCCAGAAGCTTGCGGCCGACGTCTGGCCCCGCCAGAGGCAGGACGTTGTCCTCTTGAATGGCCGCGAGCAGGTTGTGCCACTTGTCGCTGTGCATGTCTGGCGCCAGAGCGTGTCTGCCGTCGAAAAGCTCGTGCCCCACCTCACCGAACACGTCGTCGCAAGGCAAAGACTGGCTCGCGATGCGCACGGCGTGCGCCGGATCGCGCGCCACCATCAAAATATTAGGGGGGAGTTCGACAGCAACCAGGAACAGTGCTCGCCGCTCCTTCGCAGCACCATCTGCTGACAAACGGGTGACGGTGCTCATAGCATGCGACTTCGGCGATTCATCGCACGCCAGAGGCACTGCTTTTCTTCTGCCCCGCCCCATTGGCGTGCAGAACTTCGTCAAGAAACTGCCGAGCTGCCTCGCGGCCGTCGCGGCGTGGTCCTCCTCCAACTCGGCTGCGCGGCTCTTCTTGCAATGGAGGGTGCCGAGCACGCCCGCGCGGCAATTGCCCGAAGCCGACGTTCCGAGCGACGCCGCGCTTCCCGCAGGCGCATCAGCGCGATATCTAACAAACTTCCGGTATTTCGACTCGTCCAGGGATGAAGATATCGACGCGGCGCGTCGCAGCGCATCGCGGGTTTCCACGCGCAGAACCTCGGCCATCACTCAGAGCTGCTTGCGCCTGCGTTTCCTCGTTCTCTCCTCCTGCGGGTAGGCCGCGAAGGGCTGCCCCCGCCGCGCGCGAGCGCACTTGCGAAGAGAAGACGTCTCAGAGAGCAGCGCCAACGCACCCCTCCATTCCGCGGCCGACGGCGCGTTTCCCCGCGGAAGCGCAGCACAAGGAAGCAGCATCGCACGCAAGAGGCAATGGCGGAGGCGAGAATTCTTCGCGACAAATCTTGGTGCGCTTCAATCCCGCTACGTGTCGGTGCGCTGCTGACCCCTGATGCTGTTCTACTTGGAATGCGCCGTGGAAGCCCGACGCGGGCCTGACCTTGTGGAGAAATTCCCTGCGGGGCACTTCCGTCCTGAGGCCGCGGCCTCTGCGCGCACTCGGCAAGCCATTCCCCGCGGGCCGCGATGCGCACCTGCTGCCAGCCGCGACGAACCATTCGGCAGGAGGAATAGCGCCTGGTACGCATTGCGACGTTTGTGGAAATCGCATCTTCTACAGAACGCCTTGCAATGAGCATGCTAGGCGACATGCTGCGCATCGGGATCGGCCCCTGAGAACGCGCGCGGGCCGACAATAAACTAAGACCAAAGCTTCGTCAAAGATCTGCCAGATGGACCCCTCTTCCGGCCCCCTCCCGCCGCGCCCGCTGGGGCGATCACCTCGGTCGCAGTCCGCGCGGCGCCCTGCCGGGGCTGAGCCGCCCTGTGCTTTCCCCGTGTCGCCAGAGGCAGAGCTTTCAGCCTCGCCAAAGGTAAATGTTTCTTCTCGGCACAAGACACTCCGCTGCGGGTTAGTCCGCCGCGTCTCCGCGACGGCCGCGATTGCCCCGCAGTCGTTGCTGGTTTCTTCTTGAGACGACCCCCAAATCGGAAAACAAATTGCACCCGCATCGCCCCGAGCACAGCGCCCCCGATCGCAGTGCACCCCAGATGCTTGGCATTCGGCTTGCGCCAAAACGGCTGCGTGGCAACAGCGAGCTAGATGATGATGGATGGTGGTGATGACGGTAATGATGCTGAGCATGATGGCGAACGCGCTGGCGTCACAACTGACGGTGGTAATGCTGATGGCGCGCTGAAGGAGATGATGTGGATGGCGCCCTTCAATGATGGCGATGATGATTGCCTCCTCCATCGCGCCCGAATAATTACGTCAAATGTAGCATTGACCGCCGCGCACGGTGGGGAGAAAAAGCAAGAACGAAGAAGAAGAGGGAATAATAACAGAACATCAGAAACACCGAGAAAAAAAGACTGGCCACAATGCACGCAGGTGGGGTGGTCCTTCTAGCTTTCTGCGACGATATGTTTGTTTTTGGTCAGGAGATCCTGAGCCAGACTGAGCGCGGGATCATCCCGAAAGGAAGCAGGACCTCTTCAAAACGTGAAAACATCACCGGTGGGCTACGCAGTCGCGTTGTTTTTTGAAGCTGTTCGATCGTATTTCTTACTTGCGGCGTGGTCCTGTTAACTTTTTGGGGTGGTTCTGCTCACTTTTCTCCGCGGTCCTGTTTAATTTTTTGCGTGGTGATGTTTGGTTTTTGGGGTGGTCCTGTTTAGTTTCTCTGTGGTCTTGTTCAGTTTCTCCGAGGCGCTGTTTAGTTTTTGCGTGGTCCTGTCTAGTTTCTCTGTGGTCCTGTTTACTTTGAGTATGGCCCTGTTTACTTGCTGCGTGGTCATGTTTATTGTTTGAGGTAATCTTGTGTAGTTTCTCCGAGGTCTTGTTTAGTTTTTTGGCGTGGGCCTGTCTACTCTTTGCGTGGAACTGTTTACTTTGTGGGGTGGTCCTGTTCAGCTTCTCTGTGCTCCTGTTCGCTTTTCTGCGTGGTTCTGTCTACTTATTCTTGTGGCCCTGCTCAGTTTCTCTGCGGCCCGGTTTACTTTTCTCTGTAGTCCGGTTTAATTTTTTTTTCGTGGTCCTGTTTCCTGATTGGGTGGTCCTGTTTAGTTTCTCTGTGGCCCCGTTAAGTTTTTGCGCGGTTATGTTTGCTTCTTGGGGGGGTCCTGTTTAGTTTATTTGTGCTTCTGTTCAGTTTCTCGTGGTCCCGTTTACTTTTTGGCGTGGTCTTGTGTACTTTTTCGCGTGTTTCTGATTTGTTTCTCTGTGGTCCGGCTCAGTTTCTCCGTGGCCCTGTGTAGTTTTGCGCGGTCCTGTCAGTTTCTCTGCGGTGGTCCTGCTTACCTTCTCCGCGGTCCTGTTTAATTCTCTCGTGGTCCTGTTCATTTTTTTGGCTGGTCCCGTTCAGTTTCTCGCTGGCCCTGTCAACGTTTTGGCGTGGTCCTGTTTACTTTTTGGGGTGGTCCTGTTTAGTGTCTCTTTGGTCATGTTTAATTTTCTCCTGGTCCTGTTTGCTTTCTGCGTGGTCTTGTTTACTTTTTGGGGTGGTCCTGTCTAGTTTCTCCGGGTTTCTTTTTCGGTGGCCCTGTTTGCGTGCGTGGTCCGGTTTAGTCTCTCCGAGGTCCTATTTAATTTGCTCGTGGTCCTGTTTACTTTTTGGGTTGGTCCTGTTCAGCCTCTTGTGTTCCCGTTTAATTATTGGCGTGGTCCTGTTTACTTTTTTCCGGGTAGTCCTGTTTGATTTCTCAGTGATTCTGTTTAGTTTTCTCCTGGTCCTGTTTACTTCTTATGCATGGTCCTGTCTACAATGTGCGGTGGTCCCGATTAAATTCTACGTGGTTATGTTTAGTTTTCTGTGTGCCCTGTTGACTTCTTGGGTTGGTCCACTTTAATTTCTGCGTGGTCCTGTTTAGTTTGTTCCTGGTCCTAGTCGTCGTTTTTTTTGTTTTCTGTGTGATCCTTTTTACTTTTTGGGGTGGTCTTGTTTAGTTTCTTCATGGTCCTGTCTAGATTTGCGCGGTTCTGCATACTTTTTGGGGTGGTCCTGTTTAGCTTCCCTGTGTTCTCTGTGGCCCCGTTTAATGTTTGCGTGGTCCTGTTTAGGTTTTGGGGTGGTCGCGTTTTGTGTCTTTGTGGTTTTGCGTAGTGTTTCATGGTCCTGTTTACTTTTTGGGGTGGTCCTGTTTAGTTTCTCTGTGGTCCTGCTTCCTTGTTGCATGGTCCTGTTTACTCTCTGCGTGTTCATGGTTATTGTATGAGGTGGTGTTGTTGAGTTTCTCGGAGGTCCTGTTTAGTTTGCGCGTGGTCCTGTCGAGTTCTCTCGTGGTCATGTTCAGCTTCTCTGGGGCCCCGCTTAGTTTTCTCGTGGTCCTGTTTACTGCTCGGGGTGGTCATGTTTAGTTTCTCTCTGGTCCCGTTTACTTTCTGGGGTGGTACTGTCTACTTTTCGCGTCGTCCTGTTTATTTTTGGGGCGGCCCCGTGTTCTCGTTTAGACATTGGTTGTCATGTTCAATGTTTGCCTTGTTTCTGGTTTATTTGTTGGGTGGCCCTGCTGAGTGAGATAACTGCGACGGCGATGGCGGTGCTGATGGCGATGGCAACGACGGGGATCGCGACCGCGACCTGACGCTGGCAACGGCGGCGGCAGCGGCGACGACGGCAACCGCGACCGCTGGCGGCGACGATGACAATGACGATTGCAAGCGGAGCGTTTCCGCAAACGCATGTCAAGCGCGGCCAGAAAAATCATCGTCGGCAGACGCGTCGCCCGCTGAGCGAGCGAACCAGGCCCTCCGCGAATGCGCGCCGCACGCAGCGGCGCGCGCCACGGAGCGCCAAACCACGCGCGCAGCTGCGCATTGCTCAAAAAAAACTGCGCGAGAACTAACGCGCCAGAGCCGGCGCCAGCGGCCGCCTCTCGCACTCGAGCGCTCCCCCGCTCAACTCGAATGCTCTCACATGCAGCACGCGGCGCGCCAGAGACAGCGTCGTGGCTCGCCTGAGGCAGTGTCTCAGGCAACCGTCTAGTTCGTGTCCGAGCTCCCCTCAGCCTCGCCCCCCCCCCGCGTCGTCGCCGCCCTCGGCGGCTGGCATCAACGACCGGCGCGCCTCCATCGTGGCGCCGCCGAAGAACTTGCCGGCTTTCTCGACGATGTCCGCGTCGCCGCCCAATTGCTCCGCGCGCCCGTCCTCGTGGCCCGCCCTGTGCATGGCGCGCCTGTCCACGATGGAGTTGAGCCAGTCCCCGCGCGCTGCGTTGCCAGCGATGCCCTCGCACTCCACCGCGACAGAGGCAGCGGCAGCCGAGGCGCCAGAGCCTGGAGTGAACTCCACGACGCGGGTCACTTCGCGGTGCTCCATGATCGTCTGCCAGAAGGAGATAGGCTTCACCTCGTTGTGCGAGAACGAGTGGCCCTTCTCGTCGGCGCCACCCTGCAGGCGCACGTGCTTGCTATCATGCGCGGCGCAAGATGCAGCCCCAAGGGCGCTCGCCTTGGCGTCGTGGCACATGCGGGGGAGCTCCGAGAAGCGCCGCGCGGAGATGCCAGTGCACGCCGCGGCTGCGCTCGAGGTCTCGCCGCGCGAACTGAAAACCGAACGGTGCGCCACTTTCCGCGAGCCCTTCAGTGGCAGCGAGAAATGCGCCATCTCCTTGTTGTTGATGGTGTAGCTCGACGCCCTGGCCGCGGCCCGCGGGCCATCCGTCTCGGTCGGCCGCGCGCGCGCCAACGCTCAACGAGCGCGCGGGGGCCTCCCGTCGCCAACTCATCCTCCAAGGACCCAATGACACGGCGGTTCGCCCTGCCCCTGCCGTCGAAGAGGATGAGGGCGTCGACCTTCCCCCCTTTTGTCGCAGCGAAGATCTCAAGGACGCGCTTGAACTTGGCTTCGTCGGAGAGCATCGGCTCGCTCAGCCTCGCCTCGCCGCCTCGCTTCGCCGCGCCGGGCGGGGGCGGCTCCGCCGAGGCGACGAGCGCGCGGATTTCCCCCCCCCGAAGCGGTGCCCAGGGCGGAGTTTCTCCCGCGCGCGCTGCATCTGCGCCGCGGCAAACTCCGCGCCAGAGGCAGCGCCGACAACAGGCAAGGTGGCGAACTTGACGGTTTTCCCGCGGAGCTGCTTGAGCTGCCCCTGGAGCTTATGAAACTCTTCCTTTTGCTCGCCCCCGAGCTCGGAGACCCCCAACATACCGAGATGTTGGTCAAGGTTGGGGGCGGCTGGGGTCGGCCCACCGGCGCGCGCGGCCACGAAGGCGCGGTAATTGGCGCCCACCTGCTGGCTGGTCTCGTTGAGGTACGTGTGCCAGAGGAACCCTGCAGAGCCGCCGTGGATCTCCTGCAAGGTGAGTTCGGCAACCTCGTCATCGAAAGCGCCGGCCCACACAGGCCACGCGACGTCGATCATCGCCTTCGCCTTGGGGTCCACCCCGCCCCGATGCTCAGCCACTTTGAGCGAAAACAGCGCGCCCATCCCGTCGGGGCCGCCCGACTCGGACATCCGGTGCGAAGCCGCGAGCCCATTCGCACCAGAGGTAGCGAACTTCTGCGCGATGTTGAAAGGCGTCTCAAATATGGCCATGTCTCTGTGCATAGCCTCGTCAATGAGAAACGCCGCGTGGAAGATGCACTCGACAAGCTCTTTTTTCCTGAAGAACGCGTGGGTCATCGCTGGCGCCCCCCTCCCGCGCCCGACGACTCGGCTCGCGGAGAGTTTCTCGCCCTTCGGAATCTCGCCCGTCAGGCGGGCCATGCGCAGGCTGTCCACGATGAAGACGAAGTGCCCCTTTGCCTGGGCGTCAGAGACGCCCTCGTGGAGCGGGCGCGCCCGATCCCCATGAGAAGCGCGGGCCCCCGAAGCTCTGGGCAGTGCACTTCGGCCAGCGCGAACGCCGATCCGCGGGCGTCGTCGAGGGCGAAAGGCTGCAGACCTTTCAGCGCCGTCGCGCTTGCAGCGGTGAGCGCTTTGCCTTTGAAGGCGAGGCCGTAGGTCTTGATCGCGGCCTCCAGCTTCGCCTGCGGTTCGAGCTTGGCGAACGAATTCGCCGCGCCGGTCAAGCGGCGCGCCTTTTCTGCGAACCTCCAGAAGGAATCAGCGCCGGAGGCAGCGCGCTTAGCGAACGCCGTTTCTGAAAAGATCAAGACGGCCATGCGGCTCGCGTCGCCGTCGGGCAGCGCGCGCATCCCGATGGGCACGGACAAAGCGGCGTTGAACAGATGCTACGCGCGGTCATCGTTGGACTGCTGGAGCGCCTCGCTCATAGCAGAGCACCGCGTGATCACCGCCGCGCGCCCCGCGAGCATGGTCAGAGGCTCGGCCACGCAAACTCCAGGCGCGCCAGGCTGAACGCGCTGGGCGACCTCGGCGTCAACCACCCTGACTGGGAGAGGCACGTCGAAGGAGAGGCGCCGCGAGGGCGCGCGACTGGAGGAGATGCGGTGCGTCTCCTCCGACCACATGCCCATGGCACCCTCCGGCTGGCGCACGCAGACGTCGTCGATGTCCGAGCAAGTCGGATCCAACATCCACACCGCCCCGCTGCCTCGCACTGCTCGGTCCGGGGGAAGCTCGCAACCGGGTTGGCGTAGTCCATCGCCTCGCGAAACGCAGTGAGGTTTGCGCCAGAGGCAGCTTGAGCGATGGCCAACGGCGGAATCATAAAACACTTCTGCGGCAACGCGAAAGACAACTCGCGCCTGCGCTCCCGCAGGGAACCGCGCAAAGCATGGTCGACGCATTTCTTCACTTGGCGCGCCCACTCCGTGAGCTGACCCTGCTGCCTCGACGCGCTCTCCGCCTCGAGGGGTTGCGCGATGCACAACGGGGCCGCGGGCGCCTGAGCGAGAGGCGGCGCGCCAGAGGCAGCGGCGGGCGCAGCGACTGGTGGGTTGGGTTTCTTCGCTGGTGGCTGGGCCTGGGCTGCCTCACCTGACCTCTTGCCCGTCATGGCGGCTGCTTGCTGCGAGGGTAGGGGGGGGGGGGGGGGCGCGAAAGGCGAACTGGTCGCGCCCGAGCGCCGAAACCGCTGATGATGATGATGATGACGATGCTGTTCGCTGCTGGTGATGTGATGACGGTGATGATGATAGGTGGTGATGGTGACGATGATGGTGACGATGACTGCGATGTTGCAAATCCTTCATGTGATGACCCCCTCGTGGTGGACCAGACAGGCTCTACGCGATGGGCAAAGCAAGAGCGTCCTTGACATGCGCGATAAAGCAGTGGGATTGGCCCGCGAGCGCGATCGTCTCGATCAATGGAAACTATCGCGTTCGCATTTTCCTCATCACCGACTGCGTCGCGTGAGGCATCTGGTTTGAGAAACTGATTCCAATGCCTCAACAGCGTTGCGCGCTCCAGAAGCATGACGCCATCGGCCTTGACTCCAAAGATTTCAACGAAACCCGGCGATAAGACGGTTAAGCCGTGCACCGCAAGGGCAGTCGCGGCGCGCGTGATTCCATCGCTGCCCATGTTTCGGACGAGGTCACCGAAGTGCACCCACGCGCCCGATGATCAAGCGCATTCCGCGCAATGTCTGGCCATGTGCACTGCGCATTCTCCAATGGAGTGAGCGACATGATGATTGCGGTGACTGCGTTGTCGCCAGAAATCAGAGCTCCCCAACATTAGGGAGATGTTGCCCTGTCTCACTATCTCTGCCTCCGCTTCTTCGGCTAAGCCGACAGCGCCTGTGGGCGGCACGGGGGGGGGGAGAACTGGATAAACCTCCTGGGGGAGACAATCTGGCCGGTTATCAGAATCAAATTATGCCTTGAGAAATCGATTTGCTCGTCTAAGCCCGTCCGCGCTAATCTCCCCAAGCAGCGTAAACGCAGGGTCATGTGCCACGTGGGCATTTTCTCTGATCGCGTCACGGGTGCGCCCGCGAGTCGCTGCGATGTGAGGCGGCGCGGGGCCAGCTCTATGAGCTTCAATAATTTGTTTTCGAATCTCACCAGATGTTTCATGACGTATATCCTCGCGTTCTTGACGTTCCAAATGCAGTCTTTCCTCGGGAATAGAAAACGTCGCATGACTCATATTCCTCGTTCGTCCTGGGACGTCTGGCCCCCCTGGGCGGAGCTGTTTATGCTCGGGAACTGGCGGTGGTGTCAGACGCAAGAATATATTCGCGGTTCCTGGGCTATTCCCGGAATCCGCTTCTTCCGAAAATGACAAGTGAGACCTCTCCCAGGCACGGGGGATCCCCAGCCGATTGTTTGTCTCTGACGGCGAAGCCGCGGGACGTGAGTCCTCTTCTTCTTCTACCTGCGCGGTAGCTGCATCGATATTGGCGCTGGCTATACCGGGCCAATTCGCGGAGCCAGCAGCGCCCCGGGCATTGGGAACATCGCCTGACGCAGCAAAATCCGCACAGCGAGCCTCAATGAAGTAACGCAAATAATAAGACAAATTTTTATAAGGCAATGCATATTCAACTGGTTCATGCGTCTCCCCCCCATGCTTTCGTCAAATAACGCTTCGCCCAGGTGATCATGTCTTCTTTTAGACACTGAGCCCCCTCATCAGAGAAGGCCCCTGCACCTTCAGGCGGACTCCCGCCGGGGCAAGCGTGCCAGAGCCATTTCAACTCGTTCTCGAATGATAGTTCGGCTCGGTTCGACTCCGGCCGAAAAGTGCGCATCCAAAAGGTCTCTAACAATCTTAACACCAATTGCCGCAGAGTCATCATCTGCGAGGTCCTCTGGAGGCATCGGCCAGTCATTATATGGTTTCTCTCCAGCTTCATCCCCAGCAAATCTCGCCATTCGTCGATCGCCCAACACAGGATCCACAGCATGGGTGGTCTGGTAACTCGAACACGTATGTTTTGAGCCCCTTCTGGGGCGTTTTATCACAATCAATTGCCCTTCGGCTAGCGCTGGAAAGCCGGGCTGCCATATTTGGCCATCCGCCGAAGTTCCAGATGCCCCCCCCCCCCCTCCCTAAGCCCCGATTCCCTCCTCGGGGGATCCTTCGGCGGGGGCGTCGGGGGCGCGAGCGTGGCTGCCGAACTTCCAGCGCCCGGCGTTTTCGCCGGCACTGGTAAAGGAGGATCTCTCAAAGAAGGTCTCCAAACTTCCTGGATGTCACGCGGGGGCGCCTTTGCTCCCCCTTCGGGGATCTCGCTGGAGATAATTGGCTTAGCCAATGACTTCGAAGCAGGCCGAGAGGGCGGCGGAAGCGGCTTCGCCGCCAGGTCTGTGAGAGGCCCCCAGGGATTTCGGTCGCCAGGCGGCGGGGCCGCCGGAGACAGGCCCCCTTCTTGAGCACCATTGCCTGATTCAGCGGCCGTCATGCCCCCTCTGCCTTCTAGCGCAGGCGGGGCAGGAGGCCGAACAAGCCTTGCTGGTGGCGGCTTAGGCGGTCTTGCACTCCGAGATGGAGATGGCGGCCTCGGCGCGCGCGGATTAGCACAAGGCGGGGGCGGTTTGGCGGGGCCATCCTGACGCCCAGCGCCAATGCCACCCGGTTGAACCGGCGGTGACTGCGCATCGGCAACAGGAGTCAAACCAGAAGCAGACCTGCCCGCCGGCTGAGCCGGTGGCTTGGCCTCAGCTTCATCAAAGGTTTGGCTATCCGCCGTCCGTCAGTCGCTTCGTCCCAAAGCGGGTGTTTATATGCAAGACGGCATCCCTTGTCTTTCAGATGCGCCCGAACATTTTCCATCGACGGATGATAGTCAAGGTGCGGCGGAGCAGTGCCCTGCCATCGGCCGGAGTCCTGGAACCCACTGGCACTGTTGATTGATAACATTGTTTATCTGGCCAATTCGTGGTTGGTTCCTCGTCCTTTCGGCATTAAAATCGTTATCCATCGCCTCATCGTCTTGCAATTGCTTTCTCATCAGCGCTCACGCGCTACCCCCATTCGCATGGAAAGCGGCGGGGGTCCAATGGTCGATGCGTATCTCAGTCATTACAATATGAGCGGGGTCAACCGTGCACCGTTGTATAGGACCACCGTCACCCGTGATGCTCTTCGGGTTGCTCCAGAACAATCTCCGCAGCGTTCCAATAACCATCGTTGAACGTTTCCTCCGCCATCGCGCATCTCGCGTGAGTGGAGGGGTTGTCGTCAGCATACGAGAACGAATAGACGCCAACGTTGGACTTGTTTACATTGCCCCCGTACTCGGGGTCAGATGGTAGGATTTGAAATCGCCCTAAAAGTGCATGGGGCGCCCCTGCGGATCTTCCGTGGGGCTGCCATGTCCAAATCCTATATGCAATCAGTTCATTAAGAGGGAGTGCCAGTTGAACGCAGCGCTCCTTCTCTGCGCGCTCTTGGGCTGCCACCTTCTCCCACGCAGTGCGCTCGGCAATGGTTCTTGGCTCTCCCGCCACCGAACGCTCGCGTCGTGCAATAAAGAATTTCGCTCAATTCGGAATCGCATAATCCGCGGGAAGAACTGGTCGCTTGGTTGACTTTTGAAGCACTTGTTCCGCTAACTACTGGTCCCCCTGCAATGAGGCGCATAGACGTATGTGAGCACCACTATGCACAAAGGCTTCTTTGTTCCTTACCTTCTGCAACAGTTCATCGTGGCTTTCTCCGGGCCATGAATTGTTCGAGCTATAGAGGCGCTTGGCCAGCTCTTCAGCTTTCAAGGGCTTCAAGAATTTAATTATATCATCGCCCTCGCTCGCAGTTGTCGTGGACAGATGTGGCAATCTAATAAGCCATCTACGAATGCCGTCTTCGCCTGGAAGAGGAAACGTTTGATTGCTTTAACCGGTCGCTTTTCCTCCTGCGAATTCAAAGCATTTCTCCCTCAACATTCGCTCAAGGCGATCCGGTGGGGATCCAACGGCCGGTGCCTGAGTGGGCTCAACTGACCGCGCTCCGGGCTTTGTTGGACTCACGGCTGTGCCAGGTCCAACAACAAGTCCCGCGCCATCAGGGCTCTGCGCGGCTGAGCCGGCAGAGCTGGCAGTCGGCGCAGCTCCTTTTGTCTCAACCTGAAATTGCTTGGTTTGCCCAGCAGCGGACTGCGCCTCTGAGGCCCGCCAAACAATCCGAACGGCTGTCGGCAGAGATTGAAAAACGGGCTGTGGCCCTTCCATTGCTGATGACTTGCTGCGCGTGTTGATCAATGATAATGTTCTGCCCAGGGCTTCTCGTAGTTTGCCCCTCAGGGGGCGCGCCGGGAGTATGTGGCTGACTCCTCTCAAGG